AAAAAAAAAATTCTTAGCTCTGACAGGTCAGGTTGCAATTCGCTAAACGGACCACCAGGAGGCGCCACATCCTGATAAAACACGCGGCTGCGGAAGAAGGCGTAGGAATCAGAGGAGGCAACACCCGAGGAAAGCCATCAGTTGGAGTCACGACATGATTTAACAATAAATGGCGAGTTTACGTTCAACCAGCAGAATATAGGTTATTTGTATTTTCAAACAACAGCTCATAAGATGCGTTAAAGAAGCACGTTTCCTCTGATTCAGACTACAATGAGCAGTGTAAGTAGATCCTGTGCAGGTTTTTGTTGCATGTAAATGAACATGACTCTTCCTGATCTGTTTGTGTTCTGGATTCAATTATTTGCACCATTTAATTCGTCCTCACTGTCAGAGGAGGTGCTGGAAGAGCATGTGTTAATTTACAGGWCAGGAAGGATGCTGGGACATCACTAAAGGTGCAGGAGGATAACCTGGATGTTTTTCCCCTCCTTGTTTATTAATCTGGTTCTACTATGTGTGTGTGTGAACAGAAGAGAGAGAAGGAGCAGAAGAAGAAGCTGCAGCACTTCCTGAATGACCTGGCCTTGCTTGGATCGTTACAGGTTTGATCACAGTTTAAACAGAAGATGTCAAATAACTCATCGATTTCTGTCAAACATGTTGTGTTTTTATTTATTTATTTTATTAGGGATTTAAATACTTCCAGCCGTGGCTAAGAGGGAAAGAGGAGCTGCTGCTGACTGTTGTCAATGAGGATCTGGTCAGTTTCTATTCTTTTTATGTATGATTTAATTTAAAAAAATGAACACATCAGGCTTTTGTACAACCAGGATTTGAGGCTTGCAATGATTTGCAAAWCTCACCTTATTTTATTGTCATATTTAGTTTTRTTTGAATGACAATAAAGCGWATCTTTAATATTGTAGTTGTGGGCACTCTTCCGCTAATCTGCTAACAAACAGTAACTGAGCTCGASGTGGTATTTCCTGCATAGAAACAAAGTAAAAGTATGAGTTTTGCCACTGGAGCCATGTTCCAGCTTAAATTTACAACTTGTAAGTGGGAATTTCCCACTTCCCAGTACAAAAYGGCCACTACAAAAGTAGCCTTCAAAAATGCAGCGAAATAGAGATTTTACRCAGTGAATTTCTCTGGCTGTTACCTTAGTTTGAATCCTTTGTCCTTCATCTAGTAGTGGGATGCTAGTTAAAYTAATCARCATGCATTATGGGAGATGTATTTCATGGCCRATGCTGGTTTTAAAGGAGCTTATTTTAAGACATCAAGATATATTTGAGGCTCATTKTTGAGTTCGACATGTGTTTAGTGGATTAGCATTTTCACTAACTGTGGAAACTTTTAGCCCAGTTAGCTTCCACTAAATTTAATCCTGCTAACTTTTATTTCTGCTAACAAAAACAAACAACTATCTCTTCCCATAATGCAACACTGCACACTTGTGTCATGCACCGTGTGTGTAACATCTTTAGCATTTTTATCTTTAAACAACTGAATTTTTTTTAAGTTTACTGCTGGTTAGCAATAGCAAAGCTAGCTTTTTGGTTAGCTGTGCCCACCACTGTTACATTTTACTCCTCTCCTCTCGTCTCTGTTTTGCAGGGTTGGCGTTCTCCGGGTTTTTTGGTGTCCAGAGCGTCCCCATCCTCCTCCAGCAGCAGCTGTAACAGCAGCGATGTTTCTCCCAGCAGCAGCTCTCTCAGCGTGGACAGCAGGAGCAGCTCGCCTCTGCCTGGGGAGCCTCAGGGCCCACCGGACCTCCACCCTCACACACATGACAAGACTCAGCTGCAGACAGCCAGGTGTGTGTGTGTGTGTGTGTGTGTGTGTGTGTGTGTGTGTGTGTGTGTGTGTGTGTGTGTGT